GAGAGAACCTGTCTCCTCTAAATAAAGATTTTAAAATGGAAAATAAAAACACCAATGATAGCAGCCTCACCTTGAAAAGTATTACATTACTTTCCCCAAAATTCCTTATGAAAAATTGTTGGTTCTCCATTATCAAGAAAATTCATGGGCTTTGATTAGATCATTAAAACTGAAATTTATTTAGGGGCGCCTGAATGGCTCAGGTGGTTAAGCGTCCGACTCCTGGTTTCAGCTCAGGTCATGATCTCAGGGTCCTGGGATCCAGCCACACATCAGGCTCTGTGCTCAGTGGGGAGTCAGCTTGAGGATTCTCTCTTTCCCTCAGCCCCTCCCCCCACTCACGGGTGTGCTCTCTCTCTGTCTCTCTCAAATAAATCAATCTTAAAAACAAACAAACAAACAAACAAACTGAGGGGTGCCTGGGTGGCTCAGTCGGTTAAGCAGCTGCCTTCAGCAAAGATCATGATCTCGGGGTCCTGGGATGGAGCCCCACATGGGCACCCTGCTCAGCGGGGAGTCTGCTTCTCCCTCTCCCTCTGCCCCTGCTTGTGCACACTCTCTCTCTCAAATAAATAAATAAAATCTTTTTTAAAAACCTGAAATTTAGGGCGCCTGGGTGGCTCAGTTGGTTAAGCGACTGCCTTCGGCTCAGGTCATGATCCTGGAGTCCCAGGATCGAGTCCCACATTGGGCTCCCTGCTCAGCAGGGAGTCTGCTTCTCCCTCTGACCCTCTTCCCTCTCATGCTCTCTGTCTCTCATTCTCTCTCTCTCAAATAAATAAATAAAATCTTTAAAAAAAAACTAAAAATAAAAACCTGAAATTTATTTATAAAATGTATTGTTTATGATTATTAAATAATTAAAATTTAGTCTGTAAATAGATTATCCCTCTATTTCAGTTATTATTGCCACATAGCAAACCACCCAAAAATGTAAAGGTGTAAAACAGACACAGCCATTTAATTCACTCACCATTCTGCATCTTGGGCGGGGCTTGGCAGGTGCAGCCGGTCTCCGCCAGCCAGCTCAACTGGCACTAAGGATAGAAGATGGCTTTACACAGCTCCTCAGCTGGGGTAGCTGGGAGATAGCTGCACTCCTCTCTTCCCCTTCAAGTCTCCCATCCTCAGGGGCTTGCTCTCTTCAGGTGGCCTTTCTCTCCTGCAGGGGAGTCAAGCTTCTTTAGATCACAGCTGGCTCTAAGAGGGAAAAATGCAAGCCATATGGTTAGGGCCTAGAAGGCACAGGGCACCACTTCTGCATGTTCTGTTGGTTGAAGCAAGTACAGATTCAAAGGGAAGGGAAGACAGATGCCACGTCTTGGTGGGAGGAGCAGTGTGCACACACAGGAAGGTGAGGTATGGTCTTGGCCATCTTTGTAGACAATCCACCACATCGACTTATAGAAACCACCGGATCACCATCTGAGACAAGGCACTCAGTGTTCCTTTTCTAGCAGTGGTGTTAAGGACTGAATATTTTCACCAAAGCACCCAATCCTAAGAGCAATAGTTGGTACTGGTGATATGGCAAATGAGAATGAAGCCTGTAGCATAAACCCAGGCCTACTCTTCCCCAAGCTCACAGAGGGAGGGTGAGCCACATGGTCTAACAAAAGAGTTAACTCACCCAGACAGCTCCTCTAGGGCCTGCAATAAGCAATTAGAAAACTATATCATCTGGAAATGCTTTGCAGGAAGGCAGGGCAGAATCATGTAAAGGGCCCAAGACTGGCAGTCAAGAGGCCTGAAGTCTGGAGGTGACCTCTGCCACACACTATCTCTGTGTCTCTGAACAAATCAGGGCAAGTCTGATCAGGAACCATTACCAGGGAAGACTGTCAGGACCCAGGAGCTGGCTGCTTGTTTGCAGGGAAGGCCCAAGGAAAGGCAGGGGGTACAGGTAACTCCAAAGTGGCAGGGGCAGTGAGAATGTGGTGAGAGGAATGATTTGGGGCTAAATGTGATGAATGTGGAGGTTGTCATGATATAATTCTGTCCTCATTATGGAAGCATTCCATGCTCACTAAAGGGAACTTGAAAAATCATTTAAAAACTAGAAAGAAAAAAATGTTACCCCATATTCCCACCATTCAAATGCCATCACTTTCACCACTTGGGTGCACTGTCTTAGTCTTTTTTCTTCTCATGTGTAGTTTTTCTTTTCAAAATGTAGGTAGCAGCATAAGGTAGTGGGAAAAGTGTAGTTTTTGATGTCAGAGAGACTTGGAATAAAATTCTGGCTCTGTTACTTTTTTCGGGTATCATTTATTGGGCACTCCTGGTATCAAAGTTTAATCTGTATGAACTCATTTAAGCCTCCTAATAACCTATGAGGCCCCACATTGTACGCAAGGAAACCAAGGCACAGAGGGGCTAACTAACTTGCCAAAGGCCACACAGAGAGTAAGTGGCAGATGATAATTAAACCCAGGAGCCTGAGTCTAAAGCCCACATACTCTCCCCTATCCAGCCTTGCCTCCCACTCTTTACTCTGACTTGGACGGAGCTAGGGAACTTCTCTGCAAAGTGGAAACCATTCTCAGAGTTGTTGTGAGCATTAGCAATCATCTTTTCAAGTGTGCTGGTGTCCTAACTGAAGGTGGTTGCTCACCACTTGAAAATGAGTTTTTTGCTTCAGGCAAGTTAAATCTGTGGTGAGGGTGGAAGATCCAGCTGAAGTCAGAGTTGCAAGTGAAGGAAAGCCCAGGGTTTAGGCGCTAAAGCAATGGAATTGGCCTGCCTAGATGCCAACCCTCACTCTGCCACCTGCCACATTACCTGTCAGAACCTGTCTGTTCATCTGTATATTGAGGATAAAAATACTATCTGCTCTCGTGGTTTGAGTATCTGGGGCAATGTGTGGGAAGTGCTTAAGGGTTTGGGCATTGTCAGTGCTTGATAAATATAGGTTTTTTTAATGGTGTGGATGGATGTAATGATCAATCTATGGTTATGTCATGTTACCATAAGGTAATAGTTTCCTGTGTTAGGATTCTTATGTGTATAAGGTATTGGGGGAGGCAGAAATCAACTCACAACAAAACCCTCTCTTCCTAGTAACTGTACAATCATTTGCTTCATTCCCGGCATAACATCCTTGCCCTATGTCCACTGTGCCGGGGGCAATGGAAAAAAAGCAGAAAATCCAGAGAAGGGGACAAACCCCAGATTCCCACCCCAACACCCATAATGTAGGCAGCTGGGGGATGTTGCAGTTCAGCCAGGAAAATGATCAAAGCGTTGGCTACAAGACCTAGTAGGTAAAGCTACTCTAGATGAGAAATTAGGAAGAACGTTCTACTGGGCGGGGTTTGTTAAGTCACTGTGAAAAGGTGTGCAATCTCTTTTTTGGGAGAGCATTACTTGCTCTGTAGGGTCTATTAAGAGGAGTTCTTGGGGAGCCCGGGTGGCTCAGTCATTAGGCGTCTGCCTTCGGCTCAGGTCATGATCCCAGCGTCCTGGGATCGAGCCCCCGCATCGGGCTTCCTGCTCGGCTGCTTCCCCCTCTGCCCCTGCTTGTGTTCCCTCTCTCGCTGTCTCTCTCTGTCAAATAAATAAAATAAAATCTTAAAAAAAAAAAAAGGGGGGGGTCAGTTCTTCACTCTCGGCTTCAAGGAGCTCACGGTTCTGTGAAGGTCATTTTCTCAACTACCTTGGTGAGCTGGAACCTCTAGCTTCCAAGGATGGCATTCTACTGGAAGAGGGTGGCCAGCTCTTGACCAGGAGCACCCTCTTCGTGGGAGAGACGAGGGAACCTGTGCTCCAGCGGACGAGGTAACAGACCAGTAAGCTAACAGGGACTCAGCTCCGACAGAGACCTGAATGTAAGCCTTGGTACAAGATACGGAAGGGCCTCAAACGCAATGGAACCACTGTTAGGTCCCGCAGGGAAGCGTGGAAGAGGGAACCGCCTCAGTTGCTCACTCTGACAGAAAGGAGGGCTTCCCGGAGCTGGCAGGGGCGGTGACGCTGGAGCAGGCATCCCGGATTCCAGTTATCAAAGGTGCAGCCCCACAGCTTCGGGGGATCTCTTCCCGCCACGAGATGGAAAAGATTTCCCCGAGGGCTGACGACGCCCGCGAGATCATTTGCAAAGGGCTTTCCTCCTCCCCACCCACCCCCGCCCCCAGCCCCTTCACCCTGCCTCAGGCCTGACGCTGGGAATGATGGCCCCGACCGGAAAGGGAGGCCGGAGGCAGCCGGCCCGGAGCTCCCGACCCCCGAGGGGACGACTTCGCTGCTGCGTCCCGGGGCTCCGGGCATCAGGCTGCCCTTCTGGGGCGCGGGGCCCCGCCGCGAGGCTGGACTCCGCGGGGCCGCGATAGGGCAGCCCGGAGGGGCGCCGCTCGGAGCCCCTGCGGGGAGCAGCCCGCGCGGGAGAGGTCGGGGGCCGCGGCCGTTCCGCGGAGCTCGGCAGGGCAGGGCTGGCGGCGGCGCCCCGGGCGTGGGCGGAGCCGGCGGTGTTAGGGTTACTGTCCGCCCCGCCCCGGCCGCACTGACTCAGTTTCACCAGAAACCTGAGGAGGAGGTGGCCGAGTCCCAGCGCGCCCCACACCGGGGCGGAAGCGGCGGCCGCAGCCGCGCAGGAAGCCGGGACCGGAACCTCGGCAGGCCCGGCCCCACCCCACTCACCTGCGCAGGTAACCCGGGCCCCGGAGCGGGCTCGGAGCATGTTTGGCCCTTTGTTCGGCGCTGCTGCGTGTGGCCGGGTACAGGGGCTCCTTAGCCGTCCATTTGGCCGTCCGTCGGGCGGCCGGCTCACCCGAGCGTGCGTGGGAGGGCTGGGCCCGCGTACCCCTCCTCGCTCCCCGCGCGCGGGGTGCTCCCCAGCCCTCCCCTCGACTTACTCCTGGCTGGACCGCCTCCCCTGAAGTGTCCGGCTGATCCAGTGTGTCTCCTCCCCCATCCCCTCCCCTCTTTCAGATCGCTAGCACCCTCGGAGCCCAGAGGCCCGCGCAGTGAAGGTGACCCCCGTGGGGAGAAGGGCGACGGCCCCGGGGAGGATGATGGCCTGCGCCCGCCTCTCCCAAGCCCATGTCCCAGCAGTCGCCGTGTGGCTCCTGTGCGCGCTCGATCTCCTGGGCACCGAGGCTGGGCCGCCGCCCGCGCCCCCCGGCCTGCCCCCGGGAGGCCCCTGCCTGGACCGCTTTACCGCCGGGGTCCCTGCCTTCGTGCTCGATACCGAGGCCTCGGTCAGCAACGGGGCCACGTTCCTGGGCTCCCCCACCGTGCGCCGCGGCTGGGACTGCGTGCGCGCCTGCTGCACCACCCAGAACTGCAACCTGGCGCTGGTGGAGCTGAAGCCCGACGGCGGGGAGGACGCCATTGCCGCCTGCTTCCTAATGAACTGCCTCTACGAGCAGAACTTCGTGTGCAAGTTCGCGCCCAGGGAGGGCTTCATCAACTACCTCAAGCGGGAGGTTTACCACTCCTACCGCGAGCTGCGGACCCAGGGCTTTGGCGGTAAGGACGAGGGGAACGGGTGGGATGGATTTGGGGAGACTCAGCAAGGGGGCTGGTTATGAAGTCCTGGGGGAGGCGAGCATCAGAAAGCAGTAAGAAGGGCAGTCTCTTTGTGCCCCGACTCCTCCTTAGAAGTAGGCAGTATAAACAGTAAACAAAGGGCAGGCTACGTGAGTGGGGAGGGGTAACATTCTAGGGCCCAGACTCTGGGTCCGGAATTCAGGATGTTGAATGGGCTGGTGCTTTGGGATATGTGTTTGGGAGAGAGGAGGCAGCTCCTCGCGATTCCCGATTGCTGACCCTGATATGCCAAGTCAGGGAGTGAGTTGTCTGGAGGCCGCAGGGTGACTAGCTAAGCACCCCTGGCCAAGCACTGTTCTAGGCACCTTGAGGCCCTGTCAAGTGAGCCTGGGGTAGAATAGTCTGCTCCCTTACTGCCGGGCTGGGATTGGTTAGCATCTGTCTGCACCCCCGTTCCCACCTGTTGGCCTTTTGGTGGTCTAGGGAAAAGCGCCAGACCCCAGATGCTAAAGGACAAGCCCAGTCAGGGGTTGACCTAAAAGGGGAAGGGGTAGTGTTGTGGGCGCAGTAGCCAGAGGCTCTGGGGTGGGGGTGAGGAGGGTTGCCCGTGAGTCAGCCCACTGGTATGTGTACCTGGTCGGGGAGGGATGTCAGCAGTACAGGCAGGTGTGTGTACGCGGTGAGCCAGGCAGGGCTCTCCCAGCTGAGGATGTGGTAGCCAAGCTACAAGGTCTGCTCGCCTTGTTTACTGCCAGGGATAAGGGCAGAGTGGGGCCTCCTCCTTCCTCCTGTGACTGAGCAGTGAGCTGGGATCAGGGCCCCTCCAGAGACCTTCATTCCCCATTTTCTCTGCTTGCTGCTCTGGCCAGGTGGGGCTCCAGGGCAGGGATGGGTCACAGCTGATAACCTCTGTTAGCACTTGATAGTTGACTGATTGCTGTGGCCACTCTCCTCTGACTTCGGCCTCCTGACAACCACTTCTGAAAAGGGTGCTATTAGTCATCAGCCCACTTTTTAGATTAGGAAACTGACTCCCATGTTAAATAATTTGCCCAGGATAGCATTGCCCATAAATGTGAGACGTGGGACTCAACCCAGGCAGGATCTCCCAAAGTCCTGTGCTGTTTTTCCGCACAAGATCATCTTTTTTGGTAGAAACCCAGCACTCTGACCCAAGATAGCCCAGCAGGTAATAGAACCAGAGACTGGGGAACTCAGGGGCCAGGACCGGGCTGGTGCTCAGTCTGGGGGTGGTCTCAATTCCGGAAAGTCGAAAAGAAACTGTCCAGCTTTTTCCTGGGCCAGTCTCTCTCAGGTTAAGGACCTACTCTTCTCCCTATCCTTCCAGTAGCTCTCCTGGCTCTCCGAGGAGAGGTGGGCTGGGAATTCTGGGTGGGGGAGGTGGAGAGTGGGCACCATCTCAGGCTGGGCCACCTGAATCCCACTGGTCCAGGGCCTGAGCCTGTTCCACAAGGAAGTAGCACAGGGTGTAGGTGGTGATGACACTAATTGACCTGAGCTGCTTGTGCCTTCCTGCTCTGACAGAGGGTCCATGGGAGTCCCACTCCAGGGCCAGAACCTAAAACTCTGGGTTCTGGTCAGGGAGATGAGCTGGATGGGGCTCCATGGTCTTGGGACCAGCCTTCCTCATTTGGAAACCCGCCCACCCCCACCCCAGACTGGCCTGTTGGGCACAACACAGGGTGGAGTGGGGATTTCCTGGGTCACTGAGGGAGCTGGGTAGGGCGTGAACTGAGTGCGAGCTCCCAGCCATTTTAAGGGTGCTGCAGTGCTCTGGGGGGTGGGGGGAGCTATTTGGTATCAAGGAGTCCATTCTCAGCTGAGCCTGGATAAAGCCGTCCTGGAGGCTCAGATGGACCAAGACAGGCAAGGTGGGCAGGTGCTCGGGGCATCTAAACCTTTGATTCTTGCATGTGGTAGAGAGATCCTCCCCAGGGTGGATTGGCTTGCTCCCCTTTCCCTGTTTGTGGCCAGTCCCATCCAGATTCCTATGGCCTCCCGGAGCGCCCTGCTCCTTCCTTCATTCCCCTCACTTGCCCTCCCACTCTTTCTATTGGAGGAGTGGCTTAGGAGGTGGAGTCTGTGTTTCCTGGAGACCTGGCAGCTGGGGGAGGAGCTGGCTTTATTGCCCCTCTGGCTTTATTGCCCCTCTGGCCCTTTGCCCTCTTGGGGGCTAGGAAGTAGGGAGTGGTAGGGTGGGGCATCTGCCCCTTGCTCCCAGGGCCTGGGACTGGGTGGATGTTGCTTGTTGGCCCAAGGCCTGACGCATCACTCCATCACTCTGCTGTCCACTGCCACCCTCAGGGCTGGTGGGGCTAGCCTATCTGTCTGCTGGGTAGACTGCCAGGGGGTCTTGTCTTCAGCTGACGACTTTCTGAAAAATGTAAGGAGGGAGGCACCCCCATGGCTTTGTCTCTCAGAGGTCACCCCAGAAGCTGCCCCTGTTGGACCCGCTTCTGATTGGCAGCCAAGCCACCAGCGTGCGGGTTTGGTCCAGACAGGTGCTTTTCTTTCCTGCTCTTCTGGTTCTATTTCCCTCGCAACCCCTGGAAGCCAGGGCCTCCTTTTCTCATTGTTCTAAGCCTCTGCACCTGCATCTGACATGTTTTTCTGTGGACGCTCTCCCCTCCCATCCCTTCACTGTCACCGTGTGTCCTGGTCTTCCCCCTTGGGTCCACCCTCTGTGACTCCGCCTTATCAAAGAGGAATCTCAGTGACTCAGCCTCCCACCAGCGTTCTTATCTCTTTACCTTCTCTTCTTCCTTTCAACTCACTCTTAACGCCTGACATAACTCTGTAGAGCCTTGGTAGAGGGCAGTCCGGCAATATCCATCCAAACTGTAAACGGGGGCGCCTGGCTGGCTCAGTCAGGACAGCTTGCGACTCTTGATCTCAGGATGGTGAGTTCGAGCCCCACATTTGGTGTAGGGATTACTTAAATTAATAAATAAATAAAAACTTGTTTAAAAGCCCTGCAAATGCACATAACCCTCAACACAGTTCCACTTGTAGGAATTCATCTTGGGGCTATACTTACATGTGTATAAACTAAGTTACCAGCCAGTTACTCACTGTAGCATTGTTTATAATAGCAAAGAATTGGAAACAATCTAATGTCCATCAACACATCCTATAACTGGATATGGTAATGCTGTTTTAATAAAAATAATAAACCTGAGGCAATATGGTTTAGTTCTTAGTAGGGAAGGAAGAGGAGAAGAAAGAAGAAAAGAATCTAAATCAAGAGGAGACTGGTGTACTGGTTAATTAAGTTGTAAGTTATGGTGCATTCATATAATAAGTACTGTGCAACCAAAAAGAAAGGGGGGAAATTGTTTCCATGTTGCTATGGAATGATTTCCAAAACGTATTGTAGGAAAAACAAGGAGGAGAACTTGCATGCTTCTGAATTCAGTACTATCTCTCTTGATATTCACAAACACACACACACACACACATACACACACAAAATAGTAAGAATGGATGCATCTGGTGAGATGAACCCGAGAGGTTAAGGAGAGAAGGTTAAGAAAAGACAAGATTTAATTCTCACTACTCTTTTGTACTTTTTTGAGGGTAAGATTTTACTTTTTAAGTAATCTCTACACCCAACGTGGGGCTCAAACTCACAACTCTGAGATCAAGAGTCACATGCTCCACCAACTGAGCCAGCCAGGCACCCCAACTCTTAAGTACTTTTTTTTTCCCCTTTTGTTCTTTTTTTTTTTAATTTTAAGATTTTATTTATTTATCTGAGAGAGAGAAAGAGAGCATGAGCAGGAGGGGAGGAGCAAAGGGACAAACAGACTCCACACTGAGCAGGGAGCCCAGTGTAGGGCTTGATCCCAGGACCCTGAGATCATGACCTGAGCCAAAGACAGATGCTTAACTGACTGAGCCACGCACGCACCCCTCTTCTGTACTTTTTGAATTTTTTATCCTATATATGTACTACCTAAGTTAAAAAGAACCCTGAGATTATAAAAAGCAATCAAAATCACATTTCTAAGTAAATGGGTGACCAGCAGCACGGTGTTTTAGAAAGAGCTATGGAGTCAGATAGGCCAGGGTTCAGATCCCAGTTCTGCTGTTCAGAAACTGAGTGACCCTGGGCAAATCATTGAACCTCTCTGGTGTCAATTTTCTGATCTGGAAAGGGGCAAGAATGCAGTTGTGGCAGGATGGTTAGGAAGGTAGGTAACATAGATCAGGGGTCAGCAAACTTTCTGTAAAGGTTGAAATAGGAAATATTTTACGCTTTGTGGCCCATACAATCTCTGTTCCAGCCACTCCGCTCTCTTATAATGCGAAAGCAGCCATCGACAATATGTAACCGAATAGGTGAGGCCATATTCCAACTCATGGACACAAATTTGAATCTTAGGTGCTTTCCCCATGTCACAAAATACTATTCTTTTGATTTTTTTCAGCCGTTTAAAAGTATAACAGGCGGTGGGCCGGATTTGGCCTGCAGGCCATAGTTTGTCAACTCCTACTACAGATGATGCGGGTAGATGATGTGTCGTGGCCAGCATACATTAAACTCTTGGCAGCTTTGTTAATAAACCCAACTGCGTATCTTTCTCCAACTCTGGCCTCTCAGGTGCTCCCATGCACACTTCCGCTGCCTGCTGGTCACTTCTCTCAATGGTCTTCCCTCCCTCAAGTTCAACTTCTCTGATTGAACCCACAGGTTCCCTCTAGATTGGGTTTCCCTTCTGTCTGCACCCTGACCCTTCCTTCCCACTTCTCAGTGCCTGTCAGACACGGAAGCCTGAAGTGTCCGCCTAGCGTTCTCACATCCTCCTTTCCATTCCCTTAGCTATCCCTCTAACTCCAGCTGCTCCCTTCGCGTGTGCCCTGGACTGCTGCGCCGGTCCACTCACTGGCCTCCTCACTCCATAGAAGTAATTCAGGATCGGGGCGCCTGGGGGGCTCAGTCCGTTGGGCGTCTGCCTTCGGCTCAGGTCACGATCCCGGAGTCCTGGGATTTCAAGTCCCACATTGGGCTCCCTGCTCAGCCAGGAGTCTTCTCCCTCTGCCTACAGAGCCCCCTGCTTGTGCTCTCTCTCACTCTGACAAATAAATACATAAAATCTTAAAAAAAAAAATAAAGTAATTCAGGACAGAGGGCTCCCTCGCTGTGGCCTGGAGCTCAGGAGGGCCCCTGCCTTCAGACTTCTGGACCTCGCTCATGCATCTAGGAGGTCAGTGTCTGATGCATCTGTGGCCTCCAGAATTCTCTACCACTACTCATGGCCCCTTCCTGTAGCCCAGTTGTTAAATATTTGAATGTCACTTCTGCTGTGTCCGCACGCTCTGGCTCCGCATTGAGGCCCTTTGAAGCATGTCTCACCCCGCTGGCCTCTTTCATGTCCGCCAGACCCGCCTTGCAAATTCCCAACTCCTTGCTTTTGCTCACCTTTTCTGCTGTTACCAATAGCACAGCACATTCTTCCCCATAAGCAAACCCCAAAAAAAGCCAAAACAAAAGAATTTAAAAAGTCCTTTCTCCCTTCTCCGGAAAGCCTTCCCTCCTTCCTCTGACTTGCTGTGGCGTGGCCTCTCCCCGTTCGGCGTGGCCACTTCCTTGTCTTGGACACGCACCACGCGTTGCTTCATCTTGGTGGGTCTTTTCTCCCATGTTTTTCCTGGTGCTCAATCTCATCTGCCCAATTGGACTGGAGTCCCCTCAAAGGCAGTGTATCAATTCCTGTGGCTGCTGAAACAAAGCACTATGAACTGGGTGACTTCAAACAACAGCAATTTATTGTTTCACGGTTCAGGAGGCCAGAAGTCCAAAATCCAGGTGTTGGCAGGGCCGCAGTCTCTCTGAAGAGCGGGGGAGGATCCTTCCTGGCCTCTTCCAGCTCCTGGCGCATCACTCCAGGCTCTCCCTCCCTTCATTTTGTTTTCTCCTCTTCTGTCTTTTATAAAGACGTGTGTCATTGCATTGGCCTACCCAGCTAATCCCGAATGATCTCGTATGGAGATGCCTAACTTAGTTACTTCTGCTAAGACCCTTTTTCCAGATAAGGTCACATTCACAAGTTCTGGAATTAGACAAAGGCATATGTTTTGGGTCCCACCATTCATCCCACTACAGGCAGGAATCGTGCTTGGGACTTGTTTCTCCCCAGCCCCTAACTTGAGACTGGTGGAAGCCTCGGGCACAGGCATTGTCAGGCTGAGGGAGGGTGTGATTCCCTGGAGACCCCTGTAAGGGGAGGCAGACACCCTCCTCCTGTGACTACATGCTCTGGAACACCAAGGCTTGCCACGTTGCTGCCCAGGGACTCTGTGCTTCAGACCTCTACCAGGCTGGGCTTCTCAGTAGCAATCCAGACCAGCAGAATGAGGGGTAATAGTGTTAATTACATATTTACTTATTTGGCTTTTCAAAAATACTGTTACTTTAACTTTTTAAAGCAATTAGCACAGGTACCTGCTTATTATAGAAAATAGGAGGGGCACCTGGGTGGCTCAGTCGTTAAGCGTCTGCCTTCGGCTCAGGTCATGATCCCAGGGTCCTGGGATCGAGCCCCACATCGGGCTCCCTGCTCCGTGGGAAGCCTGCTTCTCCCTCTCCCACTCCCCCTGCTTGTGTTCTCTCTCTCGCTGTCTCTCTCTCTCTGTCAAATAAATAAATAAAATCTTTAAAAAAAAAAGAAAGAAAGAAAATAGGAATAAGCTCCTCTCCCATGTATTATTTTTTCCTTAATTGGGATCAAATGGCACATGCTGTTCCATATTTTGCTTCCAAAAGCAGGTTTTACATTAAAAATGCCTTCAGGGGGGTACCTGGGTGGCTCAGTCGGTCAAGCATCTGTCTTCAGCTCAGGTCATGATCCCAGGGTCCTGGGATCAAGTCCCGACTTGGGTTCCCTGCTCAGTGAGGAGCCTTCTTCTCCCTCTCCCATGTGGCCCATGTTGCTCACCCACTTCAGGAGAGCTCTGGTCCACTCAGTGAGAGTTGACCTGACCTTACCTTCCCCTTCAGGGTCCCGGATCCCCAAGGTGTGGACAGGCATAGACTTGAAGGTACAGCCCCAGGAACCCCTGGTGCTGAAGAATGTGGAGAACACAGATTGGTACTTCCTGCAAGGTGACGCGGATGTCAGAGTAGAGGTGAGACACTGGGCTGGCTCTCTGACCCCCACCTCAGCTCTCTAGGGCCCCCTTTCCAGGGCCACAGGCCAACCTGAGGTTCCAGACGGGTGGGGTGGATAGAAGCTGGGGATCCATTTACTACCAAGTCCCTCTGCCCTCCGTATGGGGTGGCTATGTGGCTGGGAGGAGCTCGGGCAGCCGCAGGGCATCGGGGGTCCCAGCCTGATGGCACCTCCTGTGTGTAGAAGAATGAGCCGGACCAGGTGAAGCTGTGGGGACTCAAGGAAGGCACCTACCTGTTCCAGCTGACAGCGGCTGACTCCAACCAGCCAGAGAGCATGACCAACGTCACAGTCACTGTGCTGTCCCCCAAGCAGACAGAAGGTGAGGGAGCGGGTGGGGAAGAAGTACCTGGAGCCAACCCCCTCTGTTGATGGGGCCCCACAGGGGCCCCTCACAAGCTTTCCTCCCCCCAGAATATTGCCTCGCGTCCAGCAAGGTGGGCCGCTGCCGCGGTTCCTTCCCCCGCTGGTACTACGACCCCAAAGAACAGATTTGCAAGAGTTTCGTTTACGGAGGTTGCTTGGGCAATAAGAACAACTATCTTCGGGAAGAGGAGTGCAAGCTAGCTTGCCGGGATGTGCAAGGTGGGCCTTTATGAGGCAGCTTTGGGACTCGGGTGTCTTTCCCCCAGGGTGGGTGGTCCCTCTGCCAGTCAGGGCAGTGGGCAGGGGGAGTCCTCCATTCCCAGGCGCTCCCGTCAGCTTGTCCCTGCTGGGACCTGGCCCCAGCTCCTCTCACGCATCTGCTTTCTCTCTCCCAGGCCCCTCACTGGACAGGCACGGGCCAGGTGAGCTCTGCTCATTTCCCTGTTCCCCTCACCCCTGCTGGGTCATGTCTTTGTCTCTGCCCCAGCTGCCTCTGCCCAGCCATGCCTGCCCTCGTAGGATGTGGAAGCACCACAAATACCCCACCCCTTGCGGCCCAGCACCCTACCAGGATCTGCCCAGTTTGTGTGTAGGGGGGTTTGTGGGGAGCAGGGGACATGTCATAATGCCGTGTTGGGGTAGACGAGGCCAGGTAGGTGATGGAGTCTTGGTACTCGGTGACCTATGCGCGAGCCTGACCTCACCCTTAACGCTGTCCCGCCCCACCCAGTGTGCTCTGGCACCTGTCACCCCACCGAGTTCCGCTGCCGCAATGGCTGTTGCATCGACAGCTTCCTGGAGTGTGATGACACGGCTGACTGCCCCGATGCCTCCGATGAGGCCGCCTGTGAGAAATGTGAGGCTGGGGCAGGCAGGGTCGCTGGGCCGCAGGGGGCCTGACCGCGCACCCGCACCCTTGGGGGGCCCTCTGGGGCCTGTGCCTCTGACCTTCCATCTTTGCAGACACCAGTGGCTTCGAGGAGCTCCAGAACATCCACTTCCGCAGTGACAAAGGTGAGCTCCTCCCCGGGTCCCCTGGGTTGGGACAGAGGCCGGCACTGCCATGCTCACGCAGTGCCCCAGGGCGCCTGAGGGGCCCACTGGGTGAACCAGGTGCAGGTAGAAAGCTGGCGGGCGCCTGGTGTTTCCCAAGCATGGAGCCTCCTCTGAATACCTTCGGAGATTTAACCATGCCTGCATATCCCTGAGATTTTATTTACTTACCATTTTTCCTATAAATCAAGTACTTTTTCTTTTTAAGATTTTATTTATTTATTTGAGAGAGAGAGAGAATGAGCAGTGGGGAGGGGCAGAGAGAGAGAGTGAAAGAGAGAGAGAACCAGACTCCCTAGTGAGCAAGCAGGGAGCCCGATGCGGGACTCAATCCCAGGACCCTGGGATCATGACCTGAGCCAAAGGCAGATGCTTAACCCACTGAGCCACCCAGGTGCCCCTAAGTCAAGTGCCTTTTTTTTTTTTTTTAATATTTTATTTATTTATTTGAGAGAGAGATCACAAACAGGGGAGGGATAGAGGGAGAAGCCGACTCCCCACTGAGCAGGGAGCCCGACACAGGACTTGATCCCAGGACCCCGGAATCATGACCTGAGCCCAAGGCAGACGCTTAACTGACTGAGCCACCCAGGCGCCCCAAAATCAAGTACTTTTTAAACTTAATGTATTAAAGGAAATTTCATATCACTAGCATAAATGGCAAGCCACTGTTATGTGCTACAAATCGAGATGAACTATTGAAATAACTATAATAAAACAATGTTAATAAATTTTAGCTGGACGTTGTTGCCCGTCAGGGCTCAGACCCTGAGCCTTCTTTGTTAAAAGATAGACCGTCCAGTGCTGGAGAGAAAACTGAGACCTTGACACAAACGGAAAAGCTGAAAGAAAACTGAAAAAAAAAAAAAAAAAAAAAAAAAGTTATGTGAGTCAAGGTAGGGTATTTCTGTGCCTAAAATTGTTGTCCAGGATCTGTCTTCCTTGCTTCTGGCGAAAGTCCGGAAGGGCCAGCTGTTCCTGGGGCCCCCTGAGGCCCTCACTGAGTCTCAGCATGAGGCGGGGTGGGACGCGGCAAGCAGCACCCTCCAACGTGGAGCCTGGTGGATGGTGGCAGGGAGGCCCCCCAGGGACTCACTCACCCCTTGGCCTGCTCCGTACCCCCCAGGACACTGTGTGGACCTGCCAGACACAGGGATCTGCCTGGAGAACATCCCGCGCTGGTACTACAACCCCTTCAGTGAGCGCTGCGCTCTCTTTACCTATGGTGGTTGTCACGGCAACAAGAACAACTTCGAGGAGGAGCAGCAGTGTCTTGCGTCCTGTCGTGGCATCTCCAGTGAGCTGGGCAGTGGGGAGCAGAAGACGGGGAGGAGAAGGGCTTAGCTAGAGCACTCTGCTCTGTCCCAAGGCCTGGGCTGGTCCCAGTTCATCATCAGAGTACCTGGAATGGGGGTGGCGGAGGGGGGCAGTGGGTGGTCTGGGGGCACTGAGGAGCAGTTGAGTCTCAGAGCCTTGAGTAGTGACTTGTTTCTCTCATCATTTTGTAGAGAAGGATGTTTTTGGTCTGCGGCGGGAAAGCCCCATTCCTAACATACGTGAGCCCTGGTCTGCCCTCTCATGGACGAGTAGGTATCCTTTCAAGGATCAGCTCCACATGATTGGTGGTGACTGCCGAAAACTGTGTTGAGAAGGATCCTGAGGTTGGCTAAAGGGACAGAGTGCCCACAGTCAGTGGTGATACCTGCCACAGGCAGAGGAGGAAAGCACAGTAAAGTGCGTGTCATGTGTTTGCCGTCACAGTCCCGGGCCTTTCCTTGAGCTCCTGACGGAGCCCAGCTGCTCGTACGCTGGAGGTCATTCCACACCTGGCATCCGTTTGACTTGGTCCCTTCTGCGCGGGGGGGTGGTGGGCATCAGAGCTGAGCGGGCCCTGGGAGCTCTCCTCCATTACACCCCTTCTTCCCCCAGGCTCCATGGAGGTGGCCATTGCAGTACTCCTGGTCACCTGCATCGTGGTGGTGATAGCCCTGTTGGGTTACTGCTTCTTCAAGAACCAGAGAAAGGGCTTCCACAGACACCGTCACGGCTGCCGCCACCACCCCCAACCCCCTACCCCTGCCAGCTCCACAGTCTCCACCACAGAGGACACGGAGCACCTGGTCTATAACCACACGACCCGGCCCCTCTGAGCCGGGGGCTCTCTCAGGCTCTTTCCGGCTCTTGCCTGGCCCTGCTTCCTCCTTGCCAAGATGGAAGCCTGGGCTGGGGAAGACTTTGGGACCAGACTCCTCCAGGCTATTTCCCAGGCCCACTCTGCTTTTGAGGCAGGGCTCCAGCCCCTCTGGGAGATGTCTCAGCTAAGCTTAGGCCTCTCGTTCCTGACAAAGCTCCAGGGTCTGGGAAGAGCAGAAAACCTTTGAGCCCAGAGTCCCACACACAGATGGACCTGTCTGCCTAGGATTTCAGAAGAAGTTGGAATTTTGTTTCTTGTTCAAAGCTGCCTGTCCCCACCCTGTGGCGTTGGGAAGGGGCCTGGGGCAATGTCAGAAGCTGGAGGCCCCCCGGCTGTGCCCTTCAGAGCTGGCCCTCCCACCCTGCACAGTCCAGGGCTGGGGGGAAGGGCGTCCCTGTATATTTTGTGCTGTATAGAGTTGCTTTTTGTTTATTTAATGCCATGGGGATGGGTAAGAAGTGGAAAGAGGCTGCCTCTTCCCTTCCTCCGAGAATGAGGCCTGGCCTGGCCTGGCCCGGCCCGCGGCGCCTGGTGTGCAGTATCCTCCCCACATGCCCCAGGGCTCTCAGGCATCACACCCCCACCCGTTCCCCTGCCTTCCCCAGGCCCCAGTCCACCCACAGTGTAATAAAATGGTTCGTTCTGTGAGGCTGCTGCCTCTGCTCTGTGGGGCAGGAGAGGGACAGGGCTGCTGGGGGGATAGGACCGCCCTGTACAACCGGTTCGGGCTTCGGCCACCCTGTTTAGCAGGTTTTCCCACCCTTCCCGAAACTGCCCCAGCCCCTGAGGGGGGAAAGACTTGCCAAGTTTGACCACCAGAGGGGAGGGGTGAGAGGGCCATGGAAGAAGGGGGCCCAGGGAGGCTGCCATGCTGCCGCGTAGCATGATTTTTTCCTGGTGTGAGCCTCGTCGACAAGTCCGCTCCCTCGGTCGCTGGGGCAGCTCCTAACTGCAGCACGTAGTGGAGAACTCAAGGGCAGGGAGGGAGCATGGCTTTGAACTCTGGTTCTTATCTCCACTCCTTTTGGTGTGGGGGCCCAGGTCACCGCTATCTCCCCTGCCTACCCACAGAAGCTTTGGCTTTTTCACAGGAGTGTTGCTGCTCCCCAGGCTCTGAGCTCCTGCCCAGGGGCCCTTAGTTGAGGTACTCCAGCCCACACCCCTCCATCTGTTTCAGCCACTTTTTGTTTGGTGTCAAAGAAAGCCATCCTTTCATTCATCTCAACAAATTATATATCGAGCTTCCATGTGCCCTACACCGCCAATCTGATGTTGTCAAGAAAAGCACACAGGAAGCATTGTGTAAGGGCTTTATGTATCTCAAGTTCTTACCTCGGCACACAGCCCTGTAATGAAGGTACTATTATCCCCCATTTTCCAGGAAGCTGACTCAGCAAAGCTGAGTTCCCAGGGTCCTAGAGGTGGTACTGGAGGACCAGGTTCAAATCCTAACATGGCTCCTAGTCTTACCAAAGAGATACTTTTACATTGTAATGATTGCTATACAGAGAAATAACATGGAGGGTCACCTGGGTGGCAGATTGACTTGGGCATCCGGCTCTTGGTTCCAGCTCGAGTCACGATCTCAGGGTCGTGGGATCGAGCCCCGGGTCAGGCCCCAAGCTCGGCGTGGAGTCTACTTGGGTTTCTTACTCTTCCTCTGCCCCTCCTGCCCATGCTTTCTCTCAAAAAAATAAATCTTAAAAAAAAAGATGTTGAGAGTTTGGGGGCTACAAATGATGGAAGGTGAAGGTACCTATTTGACTCCTAGAAGTGTACAGCTCCATAAAGTTACATAACCACACACACCCCAGGAGGCGAGCACCCAGATCAAGAAGCAGAACTTTTCTAGCACCCCAGGATGGGCCTCCTTTCGATGGCTAACTCTCACACTACTGTGTTTTTGTAACTGTTGCACTCAGCCTGGACCACATCCTCCTTTCTCATCTTTCGGCCTAATTGTTCTTCCCCAAATTCTCCCACGCACAGTCAGGTGGGAGACGCCCTGGTGTCTGCTAACAGAACCCCGAGCACAGAGTGCCCCCTTCTCCTTTCTGTCTCCTTATCTGTCTTCCCTCTGGGTTGTGAACTCCTGGAGACAACAGATGGTATCTTTGTTGTCTCTGGGTCTCTTGTCACCCCACATCCCTCCATGACCTTAGTAAATGGTAGTGGATAGATGGCAGTGACAAACTTTGTTACTCTGGCTGCCCCCATTTCATAGGACACCGAATTTTGGCTTCCTGCTCTGCCAGCTATTCATCCATCCCTCAAGGCTCAAAATGGATTCAGTTTCTCTAGTGCCCCTAGCACTGGGGACAACCCCCATTATCCCTTGGATCTCTGAAGCACCTCCAAGGCTGAGGTGATGAATGAGTCATGAGATTCTGTATCCCAATGCCTACAACAGTGATCAACGCAAAATAAATGCTTAATAGGTGTTTGTTGGACAGAAAGGAACAGCCTCCTCTTAAGGAGGGGTGGAGATGAGGTGAGACGGTGCCAGGCAAAGCGCCATCCCCAGAAAGATAGGGGACGCAGGGAGGGCTCCGCCGGGTGAGCTAGGACAACGGGAAGAAGGATCGCACAGGGGCCGCTAGGGGGCACTCTCACCACTACCAGGCGCTGTGTTTCGCTGCAAGGGTTTGAGCGAAGTACGGAGTCCTAGGCAGGTAGCAGGTTGGAGCCGTGAAAGTTGAGACGCAGCTTCTGCTCTTCTAGAACTTACCCGGTGGAGTGCAAGCAAAAGGAATGCAAATACTGTCAGAAAACAGTCTGGTTCCCAAACAGCTTGTTTCTGTGACTTTCCCAGCCATCTTCTTTTCCATCTCCACCCAATGACAGCCTTTCTCAGAACTTTCACACCTCCATTCCTTTGCACGGGCTGTTACCTCTACCTCAAATGCCTCTTTGCCCCGGAAAGCCTCTACTTACCTCTTGATGAAGCTCAAAAAACGTTTGCTGTTTCTCCAGCCCAAGCCCACCGGTGCCCTCTCCATTCTCCTATGCTGCGTACAGCTCTGTTGCACACACACATGGCCCACGGTAGTGTATGTCTGCCCTCACCTGGAGGAGGCTCCGCGGGCAGGGCTGGGACTGGGGTCTTTTTTGTTTTTTCCTTAAGTTCATTTATTTAAGTAATCGCTATATGCAATATGGTTCTCGAACCCACGACCCCGAGATCAAGAGTCACGTGCTCCTCTGAGCCAGCCAGGCGCCCCAGGGATGGAGTCTTATTTACCTCAGTATCCCCCATGCCAGGTCCTGCTTGTGGATACAAGGTGTCTAATAAATGGCTGTTGAGTAAAGCAGAGGCTGATCAAGCCATGGAAATTAAGAGGGAGGTTGAGAAATGGCTTCATTGGAGGAGTTATAAAAAGAGATGAGCAGGTGGGTGTGGGTGTTCCAGGCACAACAAATCATAGTGAGTAAAAGCCAGGCAGTGAAGATCATGGGTCTTGTTTTGATTGGGGACCGACAAGCTGCTCAGTTGGACTCAAGCCCTGAGAGGGAAAGCCAGGAGCTTGGTGGGTAGAGGCAATGTTGGTGAATATGGTGGGGAAGACAGATTTGAGCAGGGGAAGGAGCAATTCAAACTCAGCTTGAAGGAGTGGTTAGGTAAGCAGGCCCTATCACTAGAGGTCGCACCACAGGAGAGGGAGAGAGGGAGAAAGCCATACCAAGCAAATTAGGGTTACCTGTGTGTAAAGTACATTAGATGTGCAGTAAAGGCTAGTCAAAAAGTTGCATGTGCAGTAAAGGCTAGTCGAAAAGCCAATCATGCTTTGACACAAACAGCAGTTTAATTTCTTTAATTAGTTACTAACATTTAAAGAGTCAGGAAAATTCATTTTTAAAAAATCCACTTTTTGGGGCGCCTGGGTGGCTCAGTCGTTAAGCGTCTGCCTTCAGCTCAGGTCATGATCCCAGGGTCCTGGGATCAAGCCCCGCATCGCTCTCCCTGCTCCGCAGGGAAGCCTGCTTCTCCCTCTCCCGCTCCCTCTGCTTGTGTTCCCTCTCTTGCTGTGTCTCTCTCTGTCAAATAAATAAATAAAATCTTTAAAAAAAAAAAATCCACTTTTCTAGCTTTGTTGAAAACTTAGGAGACTGTCGGGTGCCTGGGTGGCTCAGATGGTTAAGCGTCTGCCTTCGGCTCAGGTCGTGATCCCGGAGTCCTGGGATCGAGTCCCGCATCGGGCTCCCTGCTCCTTGGGAGCCTGCTTCTCCCTCTGCCTCTCCCCCCCCCCCGGCTCCCCTGTCAAACTGGTTAAGATCTCTAAAAAAAAAAAAGAAAAAGAAAACTTAGGAGACTGGCAATCTGGGGCCCACATTCCTACAGCAATCCAGGCACTGAGTTTGGGTCCTCTTGAGCTGGGCAGGCCCTAACCCATCCATAGCTCCCACCCAGCCTGCCACTCCAGGCCTTCATTCAACTTGGGGACCCCCATCATAACCCTTCTAACCCAATATGTCTTCCTCTATTGGGGAGTTTTCTCTAAAATTTATTGGTCCCAGGGCGCCTGGGTGTCTCGGTTGGTTGGGTATCTGCCTTCGGCTCGGGTCATGATCCTGGGGTCCCGGGATGGAGGCCCCGTGTCGGGCTCCCCGCTCAGCCAGGAGCCTGCTTCCCCCCTCCCTCTGCCTGCCGCTCTCCCTTCTTGCGCTCTCTCTCTCTCTGTGTCAAATAAATAAATAAAATCTTTAAAAAATAAAAAATAAAATAATAAAATTTATTGGTCCCAACAGTTCAAATAAACACTGGCAAAACTGGGTTGTTTCTCCCAAACTCATCCCTGCCCACTTAAACAAACAGCCCTGAATGAGGAGTGGTTTGCCCTATTGCACAAGACCACTCCCTTCCCCCACCCAACCGCTAGACTACAGCCTGGGAAGGCACTTTTCAGCTCCCCTTGGGAGGGGCTGCAGTCAGCACTATCTGATAGACCTAAACCCAGA